TCTCTCCCTCTCCAACACTCTTAGAGAAGAATTCACACTTAAACTCACCACAAAAACTCAAAACTATCAAGAAAATAAATGACTAATGAACCTTAAGTGGCTATATGGAATGTAAAATAACATTTAAGAGAGTGGAAAGCAGTTGAAGGGTGTGAAGGGGCGCGAAGGGGGATCTTTTCTGATCAATTATGGCTCTAAATAGAGCCTAATGTCTGTTTTCCAATAGGTGCATCCAAAACTCTTCAAAAAGCACCCAAATTTGTCGAATCTTCTAAAAATAGGGCCTGAACCGACACTGGCGTCGTCGACACCCATTCTGGCGTCGCCGGATCCAGCAGCCATTTAATTAATCCGTGCTCTCTGTCAAATGGCGCCATCAGCACCCAATCTGGCACCGTCGACGCTGAACATTTCTTCTAAAGCTTCATTTTGATCCAAATTTCATCATTTTTGCTTCCTTTTTTATTCAATTCTTAAAAATCAACAACATGTAAGAAAACATGAAAAATACTATCCTTTAAACCGCAATACCACAAAAAATGAGTACAAAATATAGGTCTAAAAATGCATATATTTTTGGTGCATCACTGACCCTAGGTGCTGATTTGAGATGTGTCAGCATATTGATATTGGTGTGGTGGGGATGTGCCACTACGAGGCACGGGTGCACCAAGTGTGATGGTCGGTTAAGGCCAAAATGTTAAACCTAGATCATTTAGAAGAGAAAATTTCAAAGAATCCAGTGATACAACTTGGTTAAAGTGGTCTTAATGTCATGAAAATTTAGGTCAAGGTACGAGCCACACCCGAGAAGAGAAAATCTTTTGGATTTTGAGTGAAAGCTCTTAAAGGGGACTGATTAGTTAAATTAAGTGTTTTTTTAGCTCACATTTAGTTTGTTTTAAGTTTGTTTATGTTTGGTTCAATATAGTTTGGTTGATTTTAATATTGTTTAGGTGAATTTTAATTTTACGTTAAACTAGAGTTAACTCAAGTTTTAGCTCGTTTCAAGTCAGCTTATCAGAGTAAAATTTAATCATCTGTTAGCACTAAAAGGGGGTTCTTGTCTAAATGAGATTGGATGTAAACTAAGGTAAATGCTAACTAAAAAATGAGGTCAATAATGTGATCTAAGAATATTGAAAGAATATTATACAAAAAATTAAGGCAAGCTGATGAATTTTTAAGATAAAAATATATTTAAAAATTTATAATCTAAAAACAATAACTCATAATACAATCACCGGACCAATTTGCATAAGTATATATTAAATTATAAGGATAAACTAGGCCTTTAAATTATTAAAGGAACTTAGAAAATAAATATGTTCTTGATTGACAATTTAATTAATCCCAAAATTTGAACATGGGAAATTCCATTAAATCATTTTTATATATCATAGTTCCATGTTCTTTTCTAGTTTTGGATTTAGAATCAAATAATTAATTGTAAATTTATAGTCACTTTAATTGTTGAATAAAAGCTAGGAAAATATGAATTCGTAACTAACTTATCAAGAATTATAATGAGAATCTTGTGTGAAAGATGTTCTACTAAGTCTTTATTACTTTTTTGGCATATGCACTTACACACATTACTAAATAGCCGATCAATATACTAGGGGTTATAAATTGGTACAATGAAAATCAACCTTGATTGGGGTTTATTGACCTCACTTTTACTGTGGGAGATATAATAGATCAAACCCATAACCTCACCTATGGACTTAGGATCCTCTTCCTGTTGGCCCTTAAGTAAGCTTCTTTAGCATTTGTGAATGGTTTAACTCAAACACAATTATCCCTTTGGTGTCAATTTGCCTTAACTTAAACTCTAGCTCAGTCAACAGAGTTAATACTCCAAAAGTAAGTTTATGATTGAAACTAAGGGATTTCAAATCTAATCTATGTCCAATTAAGTTCACATTAACCATTAAAAATCCTTAAGACCCTTGGAACCAATTAACTCAAAATAAAACTTAATGTCTTAAGAACCTTTCTATTGACTTTAGAACATTTCTTAGATTTCTCCATAATCTTAGAAAGCTTGGTCAACCCTAATTGGTAAATTAACCTTTTTTGGCTTATGGCCACCATAAGTTAATATTTTTCTTCTTTAAAATATTGACTTCTATTAGCTGTAACATGTCTACGAGAATACTAGGAATTAAATTTGACTCAAAATAAGGACTCTAAGCCCTTAGTCAACTTTGTTTGAGCAAGCACCTCATTAAAGGTCATTTTAATCAAATTCAATTAAAATCAATACAAATTCTATCCCATTTTGCCTTAATGAAACTAATGACATTAGAATAAAATTTGAACTAGTTTATGCTCACCTAAAGGCTTAGTCAACCCATTTTACTAAAGGACCCATTAAGAGTTATTTGAGCCAATTTAAATTTTTTTAATGAGTACGGTTTGATTGATCCTAAGTATTTTTAAGAATATATGACTTCTTCCTAAAAATCTCGACTCAAATCTAAATCCAATTGAATCAATTTAGGCCTTTAACCCTTATTTACCCATTAAGATCATCTTGGATTAAACCATTTTCAGTCAATTTAAAGCTAATTAAATTATAGTAAGCACCCTGTTAAGTCATCTCATAATCAATCAAATTAAATTGCTTCTCAATCGTACCCAATTGAACCTAATGAGCTCATAAGCTCATTATGGCCCCACTTGAGTTGCCATGAGCCATATTAAACTAAATTTGATCCAAATACAAATTAAAGAGGCAAAAAATTACTTAAGGTTCAATCATAATTGGTTAAACCAAATTCAACCAAATTGAATTTTGACCAGATATTTACCCAATTAGGTCCATTTGAGACAAATTAAAGTTGAAGACATTAAAGTTCAATTAAACCTCCCTAAATAAGGCTATATATTGATTAATTGAACCTAAAGCAAGGAAAATTAAGCCTCAATTATGTATAATTGGGCTTGGACCCAATGTAACCCAATTGAGTTCATATGAATCATATTAACCAAAACCAAGTCTAAATCTAATCAAATTAGAATCAAATTTAATAAAAGCATGATGGATCTGTTTGACCCAATGCTTGGGTCATTATGGCTTAATTTGATCTGATTGGAATTTGATCCAATTTGGAAATTAACCCAATCAGCCATTTTTGCTCAAATTGAATTTTGGCCCATCAATAATAAAACCAAGGCTAGTTAGAAATCTAGTAGGTTTGCGTGGCCCATGAGCAATTGAGCCCATTTGGACCTCGATAGGTCGTAACCCAATTAGGACCCAAAAAGTATCCATGAGCCATATTGGCTCAATGATGGTCTAATTCCAATTAAACACAACCAAAGCTAATGGGCATTCTAAGAGCTAGCCTAAACCTTTGCCAACCAATTAGGCTTCTTAAGTGCACCCAAATGATAAAACCAAATCCAAGGATTCAAGTCAGTCAAACTTAGGTCAACACTGACTGAAACAATTACACCGTATTTTTGTAGACCACGTATAAAATTTATATTATAAGGGGTTGGTCTTTGATAAACATTGACCTCCCTCAAAAATTTTTTTGAAGTTCATATAACAACATGTTTTCTATTTAAAAATAAAAAATAAACATTCATTAGATTCATCTAGTGCTTATAGGGATGCTAATTGGTCATATGCCCTAACATGCATTAGTTTATCACCGGTGCATGTATATTTCTTTGTGACTCTTTGATTTCAATGAAGAATAAGAAACAATCACATGTCTAAATTATTTAATGCGTTTAAATACCATACCATTCAATTTTTACTACACGCTCTATGGTTTTTGTGCTTCACGTACTTCAATCATAATTTAATTTTTGTAAGAAAAAAAACCACTCCTCTCCATGCTAATAACAACACTGCCATTCAATTTACCATTAATTATTTTTTTTCATGTGTGCGCAGAGCATATTGAAGTAGATTATTAATCAAGTTGAAAACTCTTGACACTCATATTATTTCTCTTTAACCCATATTTCTACTAACGTTTAGTTTGTTGATATTCTTAGAGGACCATAGCAACACAATGTCATTAATTCCTCTTGTTCCCTGTGAGCATATTGATTCTTCTTGAATATCCGGCATTAATTTGAGGTGAGATATTAGTTGAACATATGACGATACACATCATATCAAACTTATCCACTATTGTCTTTGTTTAGGAGCCAAAGGTCATAAATCAGTCCTAAATAAAGTGATCATAATGTCAAATTTTATGTAAACGTGAGATACAGTGGCTGGGGGGATAAAAAAATACCTCAGATTTGATCTAAAAAGAGTATTTATTTTGTCATCTACATACCTGCCACCCAATTCCCATGCATTTACATATCTAACATTTAAACTCTGCTTTTCTACATTTATAGCACCAAAATATTTACTTACTATCATATAAAAAATATACTTTTAATTTTTTTTTTTAATAAAATACACCGTTCCATGCATGGATAATTGAGTAAGTAAAACAAAGCGTGCATGTAAATACATAAGAATTTAGTTGTATGTATGTAAATCTTCCTTATGTTATTTAGGAACGAAAATTTCTGAAAGAGCAAGACCCTACATGCTAATTCCATCTCGAAATGTAAAAGCTCTTGATTATAGAATCTCGCATTGTTCAATTTGTATTCATTTGAATACGAGTCTCTTTCTATAAGGAATATATTCAAGTAGAAAAAAGCACAAATCTTCATAATTGAAAATTATTTAATTAAACATGAATTTCTTGAGGTTTGCTTGGAGCCTTCACAATTGACTATTACGAGCATAATAATTTAACATTCAACCATTCAATGCTAAGCCAGGTCGACAAAATAAGATTTTATTTAGAGTATCTTTTAAAATCCTAAAATGGTTAAAATAGGTTTAGTTGCAGTTTTTTTAGCCAAAGAAAACAAATTTTTATTTGCTATTATGCCTAATAGCTTTTACATAAAAGATCAAAAATTTGCAAATAGTACAAAAGTCGCCAACTTCATAAAAAAAATGCAAAAATTAAAACATGTTTTTACTTTATTAGGGGCGGTTACCATTTCCTGCAAGTAGTTTGCATGAATGACAAACATTTCACTGCTTCAAGAGGTTTCATGAGGAACAGAAAAATTAATAAAAAAACAAGAGAGGCAGTGTCAATAATCATTGAACATCCGTAATAATCAATTCTTATTATAAATTTTTAGCTACTTTAGCTTTATCAAGCTTAGCCTAAGTGAACTGTCTTGCTTCCTTTTAGATTGATGGCTGAAAGTTCTTGTTCTACATACTCACCTGCATATAGGGCAGGATATCTGCTCGCATTTGGCGCCTCAGCAAAGTGGCCCAAAGGCTGTAGCACCACATCGGAAGCAATGTGTGCGAATAGCTGGTCAATAAAACCGAGGTAAAGAACAGATGATTAGGTGTAGGAAATATATCCTAGGAAGAAGAAAGAAATGCTTAATTTTCATAAATTGATATGATTTGATTCCAAACAAATTATAATTTGGCAATGGAAACAAAAAGAACAAATAACAAAAGATACAAACTGAAATTGAACCGACGTAAAGTGAATGAATGTTGATTTCATTCATTTTTTTAATTTGAATTTGATAAGGCGTGCGAGATGTGAGACTTCAAGTTTAGTTGTATATAATAGTGTGGAAATAGAATTATTGGGACTCATTCATAGGCTTAATTTTTGGATTAAATATGCATTTAACCATTGGTTTATCTAGCCTAATATCCGCCTCCATTGATAAGTACTGTAATAGCGTTGAAGACAAGAAAACTGATCTGGATTTGTTTGATTAGGTTTTAAATACTAATTTTTGTTTGCTTTCATTTGGATCTGCTACGTATAGATTTAACTAAAATAGAAAAAGAACTTATGGATAACAAGCTTAGGATCAACCTTTCTTTATTTCTCTCTTTGGTTAGATAAGTCCAGATAAATTATGTATGAATAATATACTAATAACAAATTTTCATCGTCTGGCACATATCTCAATGCATGACACGGATTTTAGAATATTCTAGCACACATTATTGCATCGTCTATGAGAAACAAAGCACCATTCGACACAATATTCAACTCTAAGACATCGAGCCCCTATTTCAATTTCCAATGATTTAAATCATCCAACTGGCAAAGGTACCTCCTTTGCATCTTAAATATCGTCTCTGTAGCATTCTTCGATGTAGGGGGCAACCTTCATTGCAGCCTTGAAAGATTGTTAATGTCAACGACCCGTGCATGATTGTAGTGAGGCCTTCTCGCACCATTCAAACCCAAAAGCTTTCACAATTTCATAACTTCTTCTAGGCTGGGGGGCAACTCCAGTCTGAAAAGATCGTTCACATTAATGTCTCAGGCACGATTGCGGTAGAGCAGACATCCATATTTCATTCAAACAACAAGTCTTTGAAAATCGATCTTTGACTATGAGCAATCTTCGTCGCAAATAGCACTTCCTCAACGCCCCTTCAGTGTACTAGAGTTCCTTTTCAACCAGATCAAAAATCTCTTCAAGACTCGATGGAAAAATATGATACCCCTGGAGCTCAAGCCTAAGAGGCAAGTCTCAATGGGAAGCTGTCATACCCAAGGACGTCAAGCCCAAGAGGTAAAACTCGATGGGAAGATACGGTACCCCTGGAAGTTGAGCCCAAGAGGGAAGACTCGATGGAAAGCTATCATGCCCCAAAAAGTAGAGTCAAAGAGACAAGAATTTATCGGAAGATTCAATACCCCTAAAAGTTGAGCCCAAGAGGCAAGACTCAATGATAAATTATCATACTTTAGAAATTCCAGCCCAAGAGGCAAGACTTGATGGGAAGTTACGGTACCACTGGAAGTCGAGCCCAAAAGGCAAGACTTGATGGGAAGTTACCATGTTTGTAGAATTTGAGCCTAAGAGGCACGACTTGATGGGAAGATACAGTTATCTGGAAGTCGAGCCCACAAGGCAAGCCTCAATGGGCAGCTAACATGCCCTTGAAATTGAGCCTTAGAGTCAAGACTCGATGGGAAGATACGGTATTCCAAGAAGTCGAACCCAAGAGGCAAGACTCGATAGAAAGCTACCATGACCCTGGAAGACGAACCCAAGAGAAAAGTCTCGTTGGGAAGTTAATAGTGGACATGATCCTCACTATAAAGATTCTACGAGAGAAAGTGGTTGACAGGATCTCTACTCAGAAACCTTGGAATGCTACAAGCCTCAGACGTCACAGATATAAAGACCTCAAAAGGCTACAAGCCTCAAAAGGAATAGGTGCAACAAAGGCCTTAGAGACTACAAGCCTCAACAGACATTGGTACAACAAAGTCCTCAAAAGATTACAAGCCTCAAGGGACACAAGTACATCGAAGACCTCAGAATGTTACAAGCCTCAATAGTTAAAGATACATCAAAGACCTCAGAAAGCTACAAGCCTCGAGAGGAGCATGTGCATCAACAACATCAAAAATTTACAAACATCAAAAGGCACAGGTACATCAAAATCCTCGGAAGGTTACAAGTCTCAGGAGGCACAAGTACGTCAAAGAAATCAAAAGGCTACAAGCCTCAGAAGACACAAGTACATCAAAGATCTCAGAAGGCTACTACACTCAGAAAGCACCGACACATTTTAAGCTCTTAGAAGGCATAAGCCTAAGAAGACATAAGCCTTAGAAGATATACGCCCAAGATGATACAAATTTTAGAAGGCACGAGTCTAAAAAGGTATGTGATTCTTTTTATATATAAAGTACATGTGCTAACTTTGATTGCATATTTCCACATACTTGAGAAACCAAAAAGCTTCAGAAGGTATAAGCCTATAAAAAAGTCACGCCAAAATGCAACCCAAAAGTTGGGTAAAATATCCCAAAAGTGGCAAAATCATCCCCAAAAGAGCAACTTCAACTCAGAAGGAAAGACAAAAGTAACCTTAGAAACAACATCCAGATTTTTATTGCATCGAGTTTGAGAAAAACATATAGATATACACATCATCACCATGTAAATATGCAAAATCGGGCAATTGAAAGACTACAAAGATCTACATATACTTGTACAAGGACTACAACAAATCAGCTCGTCTTTGAGTGGATTCGGCATTACCTTCCTAAAATTTCAGTATTTCTGCTGATCTTCAGGGGTCTCTAGACATCGCCATCATAAAAGAAAGAAAATCTCGCTCTCGAAGTGCCACAAAAAAAACACCGACATTTCTTCATCTCCACCAGAATGTGTAGCAGCAACAAGCAAGAAAATCACGAGTCACCTGCCTGGTAGGGACGTGGATAACTTTCTTCATCTCACTCATGCAAAAAAGCATCTCGTTAATCCCCTGCTATACAGATCAGAGATGACATTCCTCTACACCTTCTTTAAGAAAAATCTCATTTATCTCCTACTACATATGTCGGGAACGATTTTTCTCCGCAGTTTCCTCAAGAAATAATATATCATTTATCGTCTGCTACACTGGTTAGAGACGACTTTCCTCTACACCTTCAAGAAAGAAGATCTTGTTTATTGTCTGCTACACAGGTTGGAGCGAATTCCCTCTACAGCTTTATTAAGAAATAAAATCCTGCTGACCGCCTAGTACCGTAATACAAAAGAAATTTCATTGAACGTCTGCTATGCAAGTTGGGGACAACTTTATTCTTCTAGGAAATCTCAGATCTCATGATAGGCAGAAATAAGGATTCCACCTCTTTTATCCTTGGTCTATTTATAGGCTCAAAAAATCATATCCATTTATGATAAGAAATTGTTTTCAACCATTAAAATAAAAAAAGAAACAACTGAATTCCACCTTTTTGCGTTTTAAATTCTGCCTGTGCAATTTCCGCTCATTGTTTATTCATATGACAAATGTTATGCGTGGATTTGTATGAGTTTACCTTACAAATACAATTATAACACAAGGATAAAGTTGTAAGAGCAAATGAAAGGTTATCAGAAAAAAAGAGCTGTCAAAATCTCATCGAAGAAAGTGGGCAACTGATACGCCATCAATAAATTTTCACCGTCCGGCACGTATCTCGATGCATTACATGAATCTCATGGAAATTTTTTAAGCGAGAATGTTCAAGCTTTGACAAAAAGTCATCCAAAATATGATTTCAGTAAACTTACAATCAAACTGACTGGCTTGACGAGACAGAATCGATGATAACAAAATTGGTTCAATCCAAGCTAAATCAAGCTCAGATCAAGCCGTTAATCACTTTTGAAAGCTTTCCGGACATATTTGAAACATCAAACGGATGTCGAATTCAAAGAGTTCATAGTTGAATCGAACGTCCCTATAAGCCAAATCCAACGAGCTCAAGATCGCTCAGTTCCAACATCGTTAGGGCACCTAAATGTCCATCAAATGTTGTCCAACCAAAAGAACTTATCCGGGTCGTTCTATCAAAGTGATTCAAATTTTCTCATTTTTTATAGCCAAGACTCCAGCCCCACCCCTCTCATAAGAGGGAAGGAGAGCTTAAAGCCTGAAAAAGAGCTTGCAACTTTGAAAAGGATCTGAAGCGCAACATTAATCCAACCAGTGTCAATTACCGCCGCCACTGTCGACCACCACTCTCCTACCCCAAACATCATTGGTCGCCACCTCTTCTTTACGACGAGATCGTTCGTGCATCGACGTTGTACTTCGAAAGACTTTGTAACATTTCCCTCCTATGAGACCAGATGTCTCTGTAATCATCAACTTATAGTCTAATTTTACAACTGGGTCAGACACTGTGATTTCTTTCCTTTATAGGTTCTCCAAATAAAAACTTTAGGTGTCTTTACTGGTTGATTTTTCATCATCTGAGTACGTGTTGAATTATCATGTAATGCTAAGATGATAATATATTACTCTACCACCACGAATATTCTAGCACGCATCAAAAACACAATTTTTTTGCTCTATTATTTGTTCTCCAAAACTTCAAACCTAAATAAATCAAACCAAAGTAGTTTATGAAAAAAAAATTAAAACCATGCTGATTAGTTAGGGGGCATTTGGAATCATTTTTGTTTTCATTTTTATTTTGTTTTATTTATGTTTTGATTTGAAACAAAACGTAGTTGGAAGTGGTTGTTTTTAGAAACAATCAAAATATTTGAATGTTATTTTAAGTGTTCTTAAAGACAAGTTAATTTATTTTTAGAAATAAAAAAAAAAACATACACACAAACCAAAAACATGTTTTTTTTTTTAATAAAACTGATCCCAAACAAACTTTTAATTTTAAATTCGGTTGTGTTTCAGATTAGCCATGTTATTGCCCGCCACAATAAGAAATAGATCCTTTTGGAATTAAATTTAGGAATACACTCCAGCAACTTACAGTAGAAGAAACCCTCCATAGGCTGTGGTTCTGTTGCCGTGCTATTTCAATGGAATTTAGAGTTCTGTCAGTCACAACAACTTCATGCATACCAGCCAAGCATTCACCACCAGTAAGCCACTCTAGCTGCAGACAAGCAGATTTTAATGAAGTTCAGCAGCAATTTTTTTTTACTTGCGGTTTAGCATGCACGTTAGGAATCAAGAGACATTGTGAAATAAATCATCCAATTGTTTTGTTGCAATTTTAAGCTGGATCAACAAATGATTGTCTTCTAATGAGAATGAACTGAAATATTAAATGTATTATTTTAATATAAAATATGAGAACTCGCCTGTTTTCCCGACTGGATAAGAAGGCATCCCACAGGGACCTTAACTTCAACTTTCTGTCCATTTCTCAACCATATATTGAGGCCAGGGAATCTGCTCCTACCATGGATTGTTAAGAAGTTGAGGTCATAATGATATCCGGCAAACACAGTTCCCTCGAAGCCATGGCGCTGGAGGTTGCTTCCGGTTGGACCGAGTAAGTGAGGACCCTGGCATTTTCGTTCGTAAAAGTAGGTTAAGAGAGATGTTAACTTTTGGTGGAATTTGAAATAAGAAATGCAATTTAGTACATTAAAAAAAAAAAATTTAGAATAAATGATTTTAATAAAAATTAATGAGAGCATGCGGGCACAAAAAAAAAAAGAAAAAAAAAATTCAAATGAAAAGTTCTATTCAGAATCACAATTTATTGCTACATAAGTAGTACTAAAAAGTTTGTAAAAAACAAATCGCCCATTGAACCGGAATAAAGTAAAATTCAACATTTAATGATTGAACCGAATGACATAATAAATATTAAAAATTTCAAATTTAATCAATTGATGCAATAATATAAATATGAGTTAAACATGTGAAAAAAAATAAAAAGAACTTCAACAAAAGTAAAATATTTAATAATTATAAATTTAAAATGTATATGAAAAACATGTCAGCACGAATCTTGAGGCAAACAAACGGTTCTACAGTGAGGAACGGTCGATCGGACGCCTTATTGACGACCAAAGGATTGAATGCTAACGGAGAAAGCGTTGAAGTCGGGCGATCAAAATAATGTGGCAAAGAATTTCCTATATAACGTCGGCAAACTCCAAAGCCCATCGACAAGTTACTAAGGCCTAAACCGTGAACTAACGGAATTAATGCGTAGCAAGCGGTCAACAAATTTCTCATCGACCGGATATAGTAGTCAGCCTTATTATACTCTAATGTTCTTGTAATTACTGAAATAACCCCACTCAAACCTAATAATGAGCGGACTAATTTATAACTTTGTAATAGCTCTGATCTATTCCTATAAATAGAGGTCCATGTCATGATAAGGGCTAGACTCTTTTACTGTTCTCTATTGTGCTCTCTCTCTCTAACCAGTCCCTAGCAAAATGTTCTATGTCTTGGGTATATTTCTTCAACATTTTCTGATTCAACATCATTTTAGGTGATATGAACATGGAAATATGTCGTTAACAAGAAGAGGAGCCCAACCATAACAATAAGGAGAATCCAGTCAGAGGAACGTGATAGAAGCCGCATGCATTGGGAAGTTCATGGAAGAATTTGTTTAGCAAGGGCTGCAATATTTGAAAACTCAGATAACCAACAAGATGTCAGGACAATTTACGGAGGTACTCGGAGCTGTGGTTATCATGAAAGCAGTCCCCAGTTCCAAGTGGAGAACCAGCCCAGTAAGGGGCACCTAAACACACCCCCCCCCGCCCCCCCCCCCCCCTCCCCAGCCGCCATCCTCCTCCTTCCACCGTCGCCCTTCTCCATATCTTCCCTCGCACGTGGCGGTTGCCGGAGCAAAACAAATACTGACAAGCACGTGATCATGAG